TATATGCTAATAAATAAGCGATGCCTTTTATTCATTAATTTGAAATGAGTTTACAAGAACTAAATCATTGGCTCTAGTGCACCTACTCTAGCAAGTCGAATGAACTATTGGGCACCACACTAATGAGCATTGTGTGACTCAGTCTAACACTTTCACTTAGCCCAACACCTTCATTCGGTCACGTGAGTCTTACTTAGACCAACACCTTCATTCGGTCGTGTAAGTCTCACTCAGCCTAAAGCATCCTCATTCAACCAAGTACACCTTCATTTAGCCTAAAGTACCTTCACTCGGACCAACACCTTCATTCGGTAGTGTAAGTCTCACTCAGCCTAAAGCATCCTCATTCGGCCAAGTACCCCTTCACTTGACCTAAAGTACCTTCACTCGGCCTAACATCTTCATTCGACATGATGCCCTCACTTGGCCTAAAGCATCTTCATTCAACCTAGTACACCTTCACTTAGCCTAAAACCTTCATTCATCTTATTGCCTTTGCTTATTTTAACATCTTCGCTTGGACTGGACTACTCTCTGAGTCAAGTATCTCTTAGATTAGAGAGTGGGGGACAAACTATATGGGCCAAAAATCGCAATGCACCTTACCAAACCCAAACACAAAACATCTACTACATGGCCCAGTGCCATGGCCCAATTTCGGTTGGATCTACGCTAAGACCCATACCATGAGTTAGCCCATTGTACCAACTAGGCTACTCACGAGTTGAATCATCCAAGTCATCCAATTACTAAGGCCTTGCCCCAAATTGGGTCTCATCATTAGCCCACTTGGGCTCAAGCCTATCGGCCCATGGCCGCTCCAAAGAACCCATATTTCTATTCATATCCTAATTCATCTAAGATTTTGAATCTTACATGAATTAGGACTCTTACTCCTACAAAGGCAAGTATATCAGGACTTTCCTACTGATTCAAACTCTACCATTATGAACTCAGAGTTCTACTAAAATTCAAGCTCCTAGGCTCACTGTATAAACAGAGGTCATGCCTCTCATTATGAATTCAATATTCAATACCACTACTTGCTCCTAAAGTTCTTGATCCCAAGAACCATCGTCACCTTCGTTGTAGTTCTAGACTTCGACCAAACTTTGGTTACTTTTCCTCCTTTTAGCCCTCACTAAATTATCTTTTCAACCTTGAGCTTTAGAGTGCCTATGATAGACACCACACCAGTGTTCCCCGTGAGCTTTGTGCTTACTTCTTTGTGTGTGCAGGTCCAGCAAATTGCTAGTGACCTCAACCTCACAGGATCAGTATGTTCCGTAACCATAGATTTTTACCATCTACATGTAGCAAATGAGATCTTTATGATGTTTGAAATGAGTGTCACATCATTTAAATTATTAAATATATATGAATTATTTATATATATGAATTATTTAAAGCATAAACATGTAATGTGGTTAAACTATTTAAGTACAAAATTGAATGAAATCTGAAAAAATTTATCTTTCTGACAATAGCAGTTTTAACCCCTATAATTTAACAGTAGGGACTTCAATTATTTCATAAATTACATTATATTGAGTATATCATACTTCAAAGTTGTCGACGTATTTCTGTTATACAATATAGAATCAATAATCACAATGAACAATGAACAAAACATAATATTATTTTAGTAATATAGAATATGTGATTATATGTATCAATATTTTAGCAATAAAATTAGTCTGATGATCTTGTTAACATAATAAGGAGGCATTATTCATATAACTTCTAAAAATTAAAAAACAATATCCCTTGAATTTTTAATACATCACATTCGACTATGTGAAATCACTACAAGAAATTTAAAATTTAGGGACAAAAATTTTCGTCACANCAAAAACCCCTTGGAAATCCTTGATCAAAAGAAAAGAGAAGTTGAGAGGAGTGAAGATGGAGAGTTGCGTTTGAGAAGAAGAAATGAGGGGTTTCTTTGATTCTAATTCCTTTTAATGAAATATAAACACAATCATTCCCATTTTGCCCTTACTCTTCTTTGGGAATTCCATCTATATCCTTTGATTCATTACAAACTCACCCCTATTTCAACATATTCTCCATGAAAATTCCTTACAATTAACTCCCCACTTTTCCTGCTAATTAGGGGTAGAATGGTCAAAATGCCCTTAGGGAAGAAAATAACCAAAACTCAATCAACATTTTATTCAGCCTGTCGCCGCGGCGAAGAAACCTTTGTCGCCGCGGCGAAACTGTCCAGAGAGTTTCACCCTTGGTTTCAACACATCTTCGCCGCGGCGAAGATTCTTCTTCGCCCCGGCGAAGCATGGTTCACTAAGATTCTTCTATTTTCAACCAATTTCAGGGCAACATTCAACAAAACACTCAAACAAACAATAATAACAAAAACCAACTCGATTAAGGGCGAAAGAGGAAACAATAACAACGTACCTCAAGTGGGGCGTTACACTTAAAATATTTTTCTAATTTTAAATTTGTATTTGATAAGTATTTAATAAATATTATAATAAGTTATATTAATAATTTTAAAAAATAAAAAAAATGATTTGACGCCACTGTTAGTGCTACCGAGACCGATTGGCATTGATCTACAGAAATTCGGCGATTCTATAGCTCATGCGACTAAATGAAGTGTTGGAATCCGATGATTCAATTGGATTCTTTTGGATCAGCGTCAATCGAACCCGATAGGATCGACAACTGTCAATATGTCTCCTTTTATCGGTGTTGATTGCTGTTGACCAACAACTGACCGCAGTGGTGTAAGCAACCACTTTTGTTCCAATATTTTTTAAATTATAAAATTAATTATTTAATAACTCAAATGTTGATTTAAGTTCATTTTGTAATTCAAATAATCATGTAAGAGTATATTTGTAATTTTACAATGTAAAATTAGATTTAGAAATAATATGATTTTTAAAAGCTATCCCCACTAACTTCTAACCATTTTGTACTAATCTAAGTAATAACATTGAAAATTTGAATTGTTTTTTTAGAAAAATTTCAAATTTTCAATGTTAGTACTTAGATTAGTACAAATGATTAGTGCACATAGCATTACCCTTTCAAATAATATCAACGATCACTAAAATTTATATTGCTATCAATCGATAAATATTACTAAATTATTTTCTTATCCTTTATTTTAACACCTAAATATTAATAGTTAGAGAATTTCTGTTACTTTGGAAACTTGAGAGAGATTTTTGTTCTTACAATAATACTATATGTACTAACTATTTTGTACTACTTTAAGTACTAATATTAAAAATTTGAATTGTTTTTTTAGAGAGAATTTTAAAATTTTAATACTAGTACTTGCATTAGTATAAATAGTTAGCACATATAGTATTATTGGATTTGAAAACCTTAAAAAAAATAAAAAATAAAAAATAAAAGGTTTTGTTATTATATCTGAACATATTAACTTGTAACTCTTTTTACTTATATTCGTAAAAATAATACCGAATCGTCACGAAAGAGTTGAACAGCTTCTCCAATAACTTGGACAGTTTCACTTCAAACTTTCTAAGCTTTTTCCTTCTCTTTCCCAATTTCTCTCTTTCTTCAAACCTTAATTCCAAACCCTACTCTAAAAGTCTCTTCTTCTTCAATCCAATAAAACAATAAAACAAGAAACTAATAAAATTGCAGAGCAATGGACACTCAATACACTCACAGTTTCTTCGAACGACGCCCCATTCTCAAATCCAAAGCTCCCGCTGTTAAATGGTATAAAGAATGGTAAGTTTCACCCTGGACCGTCTGTTTTATACCTTTTGTTTCTGGGTTTCCTTAGAAATTGTTGGATTTTTTTATTATCCTTTCAGTGTTGCATTACTTTAAAGGGATGTTTTTGGTTCGATTTTATCAAAAAGATTGAATTTAGGGTGAATTTTAGCCACTGTCCATCTCTTTGTACAGGTAAACTTTGGCTTTTTGTATCTGGGTTTTATTCAGCTATTGTTGTATTTTTATGACCCTTTTAAGTGTTGCATTACTTTAAAGGAATATTTTTGGTTTGATTTCATGAAAAATATTGAATTTAGGGTGAATTTAGCCACTTCCCATCTTTTTATTCTGGCGAATTTTGTTTCCATTTACTATTGCTGCATGTTTAAAGCCCTTTTAGTGTTACATAGGGTTTCTGTGGGAATGTTTTTGATTGATTTTTATAAAAAATATTGAATTTTTGGTGAATTTAGCCGTTGTCCATCTGTTTTGTTCTTGCAAATTTTAACTTTTTGTATCTGGGTTTCATTCTTAGTTTTGAAACATATTGAATTAATGCTGAATTTAACCATTTCACCTGTAATTATTTGCACAAAAATTGCCCATTTAAAATTTACCATGTCTTTGTTTTTGTTTTAATATTTCAAAAAATATTGACTTTGTAGGGTACCCCAAGATGTTGTTGCCACTGGTGGGAAGTGCCAGCTTTATAGATGGGTAAATGGTAAGCGATTACACCTGCTTTGATTCTTTTTTGATGCTCGCAGTTGAAATGTAAACGATTCTTATGTATATATGCAAAAGTATGAGATTTTGTGTTTTGCAAACTGAGATGTAAATAGAACTTGTGCTTGCGGATTCTTGGTTGGCAATCCAACTTGAAGTCTTAGATATTAAGATTTGTTATTTTTATGCTTAGAATGTTCTGTGGACTGAAATTTTTTGAGAATCATGTTTGTTCATTTTGAATTAGGTAAAATTCATGAATGGAGACAAGAATATTGATTTATTCGAAGATTCCATAAAAATCGTGTAACTTGTTTTACTGGACCAAAAAGTGTGTTTCTATTCTTGTTTAACACTTTATTACCGTTTTCCATAGTTGAAGAGTGTTTTTCTGTTCATGTTTTTTCTTTACTGCTCTCTTCTTTTGATGCTATGCAGCTCTGCAACCAGTATTGTTTTTAAGGTAAAGTTTTTTGTTTATGAGTACCAATGTTAAACTTCTTTGTAGTAATTGGCTTCCTGGTAATCTTGTTCTCTCAAACTATAGTATGGCTCTAGCATCAGGTTTAGTAGCTTGTCAATAGGATGGTTTGCTCAATTCTTTTGTGACCACTTCCTATGTACTTCCTATTACTTTCATTTGCTTTTCTAGGTTCTAGATTTTCACTTGCTTTTTGTTCTTTTGTTTGAGAATTATGCTCCATCTGACCTGTTTCAGTTGTTGAATTAGTTTGGACTAATCATTCTGTGATTAGGCATTGAGTTTTCTTATTTGTCATGAGATTTTGTGGTGGCATTCAGGAGGGGTGTAAGATGGTGAATTTATAGAGGGTCTTTTCTGACAGTTCTTCTCCTATAGATTTGTTATTTGATTTTTGTAATTTCCCCCCTTTCTCCTTGTGTTTAGAGAACACTTTGAGAGCCTTGAAAGAGAAGGCAAAGGAGCCAGACGCCCCAGAGCCGGAACCAGAACCTACTACTGAAGTTCTATTCCTTTGCAGCTATGAAGGCTGCGGGAAGACCTTCATTGATGCTGGGGCATTGAGAAAGCATTCGCACATCCATGGAGAGAGACAATATGTTTGTCATTATGAGGGATGTGGAAAGGTAAAACTTCTAAAATTGTTCCTTCGTTTAATTGTTGCTTTTAGGATATATTTTTAAGACTGTTGTAAATATTAAGAATTACATTTTAGTTAAGTTGTGATCCACGGTTACAGATATGAGTGACATTGACACGCTATCAATCATGAAACTCTCAAAAATCTAGACTTGAAGAGACATACATTACTTAAAAACATGAAATGCTATATTTAATAAATGTGTGATGTGCTGGACATCTCTCTTATCTTTTAATTTGTCTGTTTGGTGTGATTTGATTACTACTACTCTACTCTGAAAAATTAGGATTGGACAAACCTAATCTGATGGTTTGAAGCAATCAGGTGCGAGTTTAATTACTTTGGTTTCAAGTATCTGTTGAAAAATGATGGGAACCCCTGTCAAATTGAACCAAATCCAGCCAACAAACAACCCAAAATACAGATAACAATGGAAAACACAATCTGATAGTAATCAATACTGTATTAAAGAAGAGAATTGAATGACAAAAATAGAATCAACAGCAAAGTAACACAAGAACAGATAATTCCCAGCAATTCCAGGAGCTAGGGACCTCCCTTGACAATCCTTGAAGAAATATACGTAACCCTTTCCCCAAGACTAAACTTCTCTTTATATACTACTTACTCTACTGAAATATCCCCCTCTAAACAAACTTTAAATCCTGTCACGTGAATATTCCATTACAAACTCCCACTAGCACATTCACTCTTTTAGTGCTCACTCACACTCCCAGCACCCTTTTGTCCTAGATGCCCCTTCAGTTGGTAGACTTTATTAATAGGAGGTCTATCACAAAACTTTGGAAGTAGCACTAGCTATTGAACATGAAGATTCTCCCTACTTCAAATTAGCAACTTGGTATAAGCATTTCTTTAGATTACCTCTAGGAGACCTGGCTGCCTTATGTTATCCCCTTTATTCTGTTTTCATAAGTTAGCCTTCCTAGTCCATAGTCAAGAAATTAGGTTCTCCTGATTTGGATTGCATTGAACCAAAATAGTGGCCATGTTGCAACTATTTGCTTTTTCAGAAAATGAAAGGCTTCTGGTAGTCAATCCAAGTTTAAACAATTATCAATTTAGTCCTATTTTCCTGTACCAATATAAGCACTTGGTGCAATGTCCTTTTTTAGTTATGTGTTTTGTAAATATGGTAAATTTGTTAGTTGAGGTCATCTTTTGACTTTTAGTAATTTTTCTTTTATCGGTCAAAAATAAAACGTTCTTTATACAGTTGACAGGTTGTGTAAAATATAAAGTTCTTTAGAAGGTTGGCAGGTTGTGTTAAGTAGTTAATTTATCAAATTGCGAAGTAAATAACTTTTGTGGTCAATGTTTATATTTATCAGTGAGAAATCTGTGGACTTCTGTAAGGTGTAAACATTTAGAGAATTTTCATTAACACAACAACAGTTTGCATTAAGAAATGGAACTAAATTTTGCAAATCCAGAAAAGAAAGTGCTGTTGTGGTGATTCTGTTGGTGTGGATTTGATTGCAATTGAGCCTGATTGATTTGCACTCTGTTTTTACTCATTGCAATATGTAATCTTTTTTAATGTTATGTTAAATGTTGAGCCTCATTTTTCATCATTTCACTCATGTTGCTCCTCTTCGTGAATTTTATTTATTAATAACCTTCTTTAAGGCCTTATATAAAAGTGTCTGAAGTAGGTTTTTAATTATACTGCAGAAATTTTTGGATAGTTCAAAGTTGAAAAGACACTTTCTCATTCATACTGGAGAAAGAGACTTTGTATGCCCTCATGAAGGTTGTGGTAAGGTGATCAGTCTAACCAATTCTGACTATTTTTGTTGTATTTCTCCTAAGGCTGTTTTTATTTTCTCTTGGCTCTGTAATATTAGAATATATTATTTCCCAGAAGATATGAAAATTGATGCTTTTTATGGGCCTGCGACGTTATCATATACATGATTTTCACTCTGTTCTGTGTTTGGGCAAAAGATTATTCAAAGCTTGTTCACATTTTGGTCTTGGAATTTTAAAAATTGTTCTCAGTGTTGACCTTCTTTAGTAATATTCTGTTATAAATTCTTGTTGCAAATGCAAATGCAAATGCAAAAAAAAAAATAATTCGTGTATTGAATTGAGAGGGATCATTAAGGTTAAAAGGGACCATAATGTATTTGATTGAGAATGAACAGTGAGAATCTAGTTGGCTAATCAGATGGTGATTTTAGTCAATTATGTATACAAGATCCATGGTTTTGTTTTGCATTTTTATGTATCATTCCTAACACTTAGATTACCTTGACGTGCTGCTTTTGCTTCAGATGATCTTTTCAATGTTTGTGCGTGTGGGTGTGCCTGTTTACGTGCTTACCATGTGTTGTAACTAACTAAAATGTGGAACTGCAGGCGTTCTCCTTGGATTTTAACCTGAGGTCACACATGAAAACACATTCGCAAGAAAATTATCATATCTGCCCATACCCAGATTGTGGAAAGAGATATGCTCATGAATACAAGTTAAAGAATCACATTTCATCTCACCATGAAAAGGTCAGTACTATTCTCAACCTGTTAGATTCTCTTTTTTTTTGGTTTGTAATTTTCTGTTTTGAATTATTTTGTTGCATTATAAGTTAATTTTTTTCCTTGAAAATCATATAATTCTTTCATAATTCATATTTAGTTATTGAAGTTTAATTAGCATCTTGATTGGAACAACTTAGAAAATATCAATCATTTGTCAGTAGAAGTTTTTGCCAATATCTTTCCTGTAGATATCCTAAATGTTTGTTTAACCATGGTAGAATATAGAACTTTTAGTAGGACTAAATTCATTGAACATTGATTTCTTCCGAAAGACATTCACATGGTAAATAGAGTATATAAAAATTTCTACATTTAAAAAAGTAGGCGGAATCTCTAAAACACAGTACAACATATATGTACTGTCATTTCTCGAAACTATGAATAATGTCCTGTACACTGGTGCTGGATTGCCTTCACTATAAATCTGGTCTTGAATTGACTCATCATGAATGTGATTCACAGATCGAGTTAGTTTTAGGCCAGTTCAGTTTGTGTTTTACTCTGAATTCTCTTATATACAATGTCAGTGAATATGAAGAGCACCAGTGAAGATTGTTTTATCTGAGCTGTTACATCTGATTCTTAGTTACACCTTTATTTGGCAGAATGGGGCAGTGGATGTCCCAAAATATTCTACACCTCCTGAGAGGATTACGAAAACTCCCAAAAGTTCTGCAGCGGTTTATGGCTCTGCATCATCTGACCGCCCTTACGCCTGTCCTTATGAAGGGTGTGAAAAGGCTTACATACATGAATACAAGCTTAAACTCCATTTAAAGAGAGAGCATCCTGGCCATGCATCGGATGAGAATGCTGAGAATGCTGCACATAATGCTGATAATGATATGGATGAAGCAAGTGATCAAGATGTCTATACTGGAAAGCGTGGGGGCAGCAAAAGCCAGAAACAAAGCAGGGCAAAACCGAACTTGAAGATGCCTCCTTCAAAGATCACACAGCACAAAGGTTCAAGTGCATCTCCTGCATCATTGAGCGTTGTGAGAAAATCATGGCCTATTAAAGAAGAAACTTTCGAGGAAGAAGATAGTGAAGAAACCGAGGAAGACCGTGACAATGTCGAGGATGGATATAGATATGGCCAAACTAACGAAGATGATGATGAGGAGACTGAATACGAAGACTGAAGATTTTTTGCTGCACCATCTTGGCAAGGGCATTGTATCTAAGGCACATAATCAAATTCGCTCTCTTCTTTTCTTCTTTGCTTTTATCAATAATCTAAAGCCATCTTATACCCATTTTCTGATTTGAAGAATACAAATAAAATATTATGTTCTAGTAATAATGTTATGCATCGCTATATTATGTTCTAGTAATAATGTTATGCATCGCTCTTTCTCCATTTCTCTAATGGGGTTATATATATTTACTCATTTTATTTGTTGTAAAAACTAAAAAGATGGGAGCAAAAAGTTGTCTATTTACAGGCATGCTTAAATTATTCAAAAGTCAATGGTCCTCAAGATCATCGGTGGTCTCAAGATCATCGGTGGATTCAGATATTCATTCTTCAGAAATAAACCTTTGAATAATTTCACAAGTACTTACTGAGATTGATAGGTTTACACATAAGGATATTCAAAACTTAATTCATTTTTTATGCTTATTGTATGAAAAAAAAAAAGAAAAAAAGAAAAAAGAAAAAAGGGGGTCTTAACCAAGAAGATCTGGCTGTAGAAAGCTTGATGTTCATTAACTGTGACCTCAAGGGCCATGCATGAATTGTCTCGAGCTTACTTCAATTTGAAGGGAGTTTCTTACATATACACGCAATCTGAAGAAAAGTTATAGTATTTGTAAGACTGTCTCATATAAACTTTTCTGTTGGGGATAATATATGTAAGCTAAGAATTTTTATAAAATCATAGTTTACCCATCCTTCCATCAAATTCAATATAAAAATCTTAGATGTAAGAGTAGATAAAAGAGTAAAATTTTATCCTTCTCCATCTATTGTACTGTGTCAATAAAAAACGTAGGAAGTACCAGCATAATCTTCATCGTATAAAGTTCAATGTCTTAATAATTTCAACAATCATACAATGGTTTTATTTGATGGATGTTTTCACTAAATTTGCGGCTCAAATAACAAGCAAGAACTCATCAGAGAAGGCAAAACGATGATAAGATTACTTCAGTTACACAAAAAAGAGCAGAAAGAAAAAGCAAAAAATACAAACAAAACCACAAAAGCTGACAGGAAAAACCCTAATTTTCAGAACCCTTTACTCTTCTTTTACATTTTGATGACTCTCCTCTGCATTAACCACACAGCTTCTCTCCGTCCGGCGTTTGTTGTAACAAAGCCAAACTTTAAAGATCTTCCGGCTGATTCCCATTTCATCACAAAACTGTTCAACCTCTTCTTCATCATGCTTCTGTGGCCTCCACCCCAACTTCTCTGCAAATCTATTCATTTTATCCTTCTGTTCAGGGCTAAGCTTTGTCCTCTTCGCCTTCTTCTTCATCTTCATATCCTTTTCTCCACTGAACCCATCACCAATACGCGCATTATGAAGCGTTGGAAGTGAATAATGTGGGTGGTTTAGCATCTCTTTTCTATGGAAGCTACAGTGGCAACCGCACACGGCGCAAAGAAAGGCATCCGTAGTTCCATCTTTGCCGGCTTTGAGAAACTCTCCACAGCCATCAGTTGCGTAGCAGCCCATGGCGGCTGCATGGTTGCGTCTACGTTCTCTGTAACTTGCTCCTCCTGCTGGCTCAGCCCATTGGACGCCATTATAGGCTTGAGGCATACTGATGGCAGTTTGGTTATTTCTGGCTCCTGCCATGAGAGTGAGAGTGAGAAAGGGACTGAAATGGGGAGTGTTAGAGATGTTAAATTGTTTTTAGGAAGTGAAACGGCTGGTTAATTTGGCTTGAAGTGTTAAGAGAATCGCCATTTGGAGGTGGGTGTGCACTAAAACCATGACAAGTTTTTGCATGAAAATCAATACGTGTCTTTGTAGAAAAAAAAGACTTGAAGAAGGAGGAAAAACACTCTATTTCTTCTCGTGTTATTTTATTGAATAAAGAAGACATAAATAAATAGGTAACAAAAGTAAGACAATTTCGGAAAGGAATCTCTCTTAAAGGAAAAAATAAAAATAAATCAAGAAAATTTGGCAATTAGAAATTCAATCTTCTTGTAAAAGGAAAACAATAATTAAAAAAATAAAAAATTCCTAAAATAATAAAAACTCCTAAAAACAAGATACACTAGCTAATATATAACAAGGAAACAAAACAACCAAATAAACATAGTCAACGGCTTGACTTTCAACTCAAGCCTATCTATAGATGTTAATTATACCAAGTTTCTCTATAAAGTCTTCGAAGTTGGCACGAACAAGAGCTTTTGTGAGAGTATCTGCAGTTTGACCGGTTGTTGGAGTGTAGCTAACCTTAAAAATTCCTTCTTCAATCTTTTCTTTGATAAAATGTCGATCTATGTCCACATGCTTAGTTCGATCATGATGAACCAGATTTTTGGCTATACTGGTGGCAGTTTGATTATCACAATATAATTCCATGGGATGCTCCAAGGTGACCTTTAATTCTAACAATAATCTTTGTAACCAAATTCCTTCACAAATTCCCTGTGCCATAGCTCGAAATTCTGCTTCTGCGCTACTACGAGCTACAACTGATTGCTTCTTGCTTCTCTAAGTCACCAAGTTTCCGCACACATAAGAACAATATCCAAAAGTTAATCGTTGATCTATAATGGATCCTGCCTAATCTGCATCTGAATAAACTTTGATATATCTCTTAGAAGTTCTTGAGAAGAATAGACCCTTACCCGAAGTCATCTTGAGATATTTCAAAATTCTGTATACAACAGTCATATGTCTCTCAATTGGGCAATTCATGAACTGGCTGACTGCACTGACGTAGAGACCGATGTCAGGTCTAGTATGGGAGAGATAGATGAGTTTCCCCACAAGGCGTTGATACCGTCCCTTATCGACAGGAGCACTCCCATCATTAACTTCAAGCTTGATTGTTGGATCCATGGGGGTCTCGGCGGGTTTACAACCAAGCATTCCTGTTTCACTCAACAAATCCAGAACATACTTACGTTGGGAGACAGAGATGCCTTTCCTTGACCTACCAATTTCCATCCCCAGGAAGTACTTGAGATTCCCTAGGTCCTTGATCTCAGATTCTTTATCCAAGAATTGTTTGAGAAGTCTAATTTCTTCCTCATGGTCACCTGTTAGAATGATGTTGTCCACATAAACAATAATAATGGCCATCTTCCCTTCAGAGAAGTGCTTCACAAACAGAGTATGGTCAGATTGACACTGGGAATATCCATAACCTTTTACTGCTTTAGTAAATCTCTCAAACCATGCCCGCAGAGATTGCTTGAGTCCATACAAGGATTTTTGAAGTCTAAAAACCTTGTTGGAGTTAGATGATGTCTCAAGCCCGCCAGGAATATCCATATAGACTTCTTCCTCTAGATCACCATTGAGGAAGGCGTTCTTCACATCCAGTTGATGCAAGTACCAATTAAGGTTAGCTGCCAAGGATAAAAGTACACGAACAGTGTTGAGGTTCGCAACTGGAGCAAAAGTTTCCTGATAGTCAGTGCTATAGGATTAGGCGAATCCTTTGGCAAGCAAACGAGCTTTATACCTGTCCACCCTACCATCCGCCTTATATATTCACTATGAAGATCCACTTACACGCAACAGTTTTCTTACCTCTCAGAAGATCAGTAATTTCCCAAGTTCCATTCTTTCTTAGTGCCTGAATCTCTTCATTAACGACAACCTTCCACTTAGGACACTCAAAGGCTTCCTAAATATTGCAAGGAACCTGTATCTCTATAAGACTACTAGTATAGGCATGAAAAGAAGGTGACAAACCATCATATGAAATAAAGTTTCCAATGGGATGTTGAGTGCATGACCAAACCCTTTTTCTCCAAGCTATGGGCATATTTAAGATCTCATTTTCTAACTTAGTATCAACATAACCATCTAAGTTAGAACTATTACCTGGAATTTTGGGAGGATTAGGACTTGGTTCAGCTTCATGGTTTTATTGAGAAAGTGTTAGCTCTTTCCTCTGTTTCCTCTTGGATGTGCTCCGTATCCCGCAAATCAACAAAGAACTCGGTGTTTTCAGCAAGTTGAGGCTGACTAAATGACTCTAGAGGAATGTGATTTTCTGTGGTGATGGGTGACTCTAGGAATGACTCAAAGTCCCAAAACTGATATTCTTGAGCTGAGTTCTCCCCTTGAATATCAATTTTGGAGTAGTATGACTGATTCTCAAAAAAGGTGACGTCCATTGAATTGTAGAATTTTCTTGTGACAAGAGACTAACACTTATATCCTTTTTGATTTGTTGAATACCCAAGGAAGATGCACTTGAGTGACCTAGGATCAAGTTTACTTCTATATTGTTGATGGACATGGACAAAGCTAGAGCATCCAAAAATTTTAGGTGGAATAATGGAAATGAGATGAGTAGTCGGAAATGATTTTAGAATGGTTTGACATGGTGTTTGAAATTTTAGCACCCTAGACGACATCCTATTGATAAGATATGCTGCTGTAAGAACAGCTTCCCCCCAGAAGAATTTAGGTACATTTGTGGAGAACATTAGTGACCTGGCTACCTCTAACAAATGTCTATTTTTCCTTTCAGCGACTCCGTTTTGTTGTGGGGTGTCTACACAAGAACTCAAGTGAACTATCCCTCATTTTGATAGGAATTCCCCTAGAACGATGTTGAAGTAATCTCTAGCATTGTCAGACTTTAGGATTTGGATTTGTGACTGGAATTGGGTTTGAATCATATTTTTGAAATTTTTAAAGATTTGACTTGTTTCTGATTTGTCTTTCATAAGAAACACCCAGGTTAATCTAGTATGATCATCTATGAATGAGACAAACCACCTAGCACCTGTTACATTTTTTTATTTTTGACAGACCCCAGATATCACTGTGAATCATAGATAATGGTCTAGATGCTTTATAGGGTTGAATAGGAAAATGAGATCGAACATGCTTGGATAATTGACAGATTTCACACTCAAGAGATTTTGGATTTTCATTAAATAATGAAGGAAATAAACATTTGAGGTACATAAAATTGGGATGACCTAAACGATAGTGCCATAACATAATAGTACTATCATTATTTTGATGAAATACTGAAAAAGAACTAACGTTAACTGCCGTTTGAGGTTGTTCTTGTGAAATTGGGTACTCCTTAAAGATATAGAGTCCAGAGCACTCCTCAGCATTGCCAATCGCCTTCCCCAAATCCAAATCCTAAAATTCATAATG